AAATAATAATAATAATAATAATAATAATAATAATAATAATAATAATAATAATAATAATAATAATAATAATAATAATAATAATAATAATAATAATAATAATAATAATAATAATAATAATAATAATAATAATAATAATAATCCACTTTGTTAGCATTTAACATATGAAGAATGTCTTCAATGCGTCGACAATTGAAAGAGACGGAAGGTTGATTCCCTCAACTGTGATCAATTTGATTTGATGAATTGAGAGGCATGATATATAGATCAGCCTAACCATCAGTTGTTGAGAACCGTCGATCTATCAAAGATGCACTGAATTCAGCAAGAAAAGCACGTCACCCCAGCCATCAGATGTCCAATGCCGACAGCTTAGGTGATGTGAGTTTTCCTACAGTATGTTCACTGCTCTCGTTGACTACTGTAGCTTGAAAGTTTATTACGAGAGACACGTAATGTGTACCTTGAGATCGTACACACGTGGGATTCCGTGAGGACTATGAACCTTGTACAAAGGACACGACAATTGAGTTAATAAGTGTGCACACACAGAACCTAGAAAAGGTATGACAAAAAGCTCACTCAAACCTAGATTTTGATTCGTAATTGAAAATGAGCAAAGCTAAATTAGCAAATTTATGGCTTAAATTCTCTTTTCGATCAATGGAATTCTGTCCAAATCATAGCCTAAATTTTGTTAGAGAAGTTAAGCATAGGGCTAGTGCGAGCCGGCAGGCATGCGGGGTCTCGAGCCGGGCCCAATTCTGAACTAGGTTCGGGCCGCATGTTAAGGCAGGTGGGCTGCACGTAGTAGGGCCGACATCGTGGGGTGGTCCTGATCTACCAATTGCCTGGCTCCAAAATTATTAAAGTATGTAATTCCTATACTAGATATATTTTCTCCCATATTTATGTAAGGCTCGATCTAGCCTGGCCTGGTTTCTTTGGCCTGAGCCGAGCACGGGCCTCGTTGTCATGAATTTCTGCAGGACCCAACCAGGCCACAAACTAAAATTTTGGGCCGAGCTGGGCCTGGGGCTACACTGCATTGTTTTGGGCCAAGACCCAAGCCAGAACTTGGTTGGCTCGTTAATATAGCTACATAGGGCGTCTACTTTCCAGGGCTAAGGCACAAATCTCGTTTGATATTGTTGTTTTGGGCCCAAAAGAACCAAACTGATCTCCGATCTCAACAATTATGATCTAAAAGAATTATGATCTAAAAGAAATGAATTTTAAGCTCTAAAAATAGTGTGCCTTTTATAAGCCTGTGGTTTTTATAAACTTGAGACCCCAAACAATCAAAGTAAAGAGTACCTCTAAATAGTATGGAAAGATTATTTTTCAAAAGCAAAAATCTTTGTGATGCCGTAAAAATGTATTTTCATTTCTAATTATAAAATTCAAAAGCTTTCAAAAAATAGTGTAGATCGAGTAGATCTATAAACACTTGAAAATATTGAAAATTGACGTCGCAGATAATGCAATACAAGATCCACTATTTCTCAAACATAAAATCTTCTTTTTTTTTTTGACATCTTGACATTATGTCTATACATCTTGAGGTCAAGATGGGCGATTTGAGGGATTTCTAGTGAACTTTTGAGGTGTGCCTTAATTTGATGGTTTAGGGCCTCAACCTTATATAAACTTTTTCCTTAATGAATTGTTCATTTCAAGTATAACACATATGTCGGATCCGCACTATTCTTGGAGTTTCAAATTTTACAATTAGAAACAAAAATAAATTTTCAGGTCATCATAGGAATTTTAGATATCGAAGTTACATTCATTTGTCATCATGGACTGGAGCCTTGGCAGTAGTACCAAGGAGCCCAATGATAAAGTCTCTGACTCCATTCTCACCAAAGGGTAGGGACCCAAATCCCCATTGACTTACCATTCTTTTGAGAATAGACTAGGGCTTTGGCGTAATACCAATGAGCCTTATGATGAATTCTCTACTACCATTCTCACCAAGGTTAGGGGCCCAAATCCCCACTGATTTACCCTTCTTTTTAAGAATGGCCTGGTCTTGTTAGTAGTATTGTGGAGCCCTATGGGGAGGTCTCTGACTCTGTTTTTACCAAAGGGTAGGGGCCCAAATCTACACTGACATACCACTTTTACTTACAAAAAAAAAAAAATCGCAACCCTATTTTAAACACTTACTCCATCACTCCACCCCGTTTTTTATACAATGGGAAAAGTTTATATAAGGGCGAGGCTCTAAACAATCAATTTAGGATGCATCTCAAAATTCTACTAAAAGAGGTGGTTTTGAAGCCCAAAAAACCTCAAATTGATCATCTCGACCTTAAGATGTATGGATATGAGAAAAAATGGATTTCAAATCTTAGAAATAATGCATATTGTAATGCATTTTCGGATCGTTAATTTTCAAGATTTTCAAGTGTTCCTAGTTCTACTTGATCTACATTACTTTTGAACTTTTAACTTTTAACTTTTACAATTAGAGATGAAAATAAATTTTCAGGCTATCACAAAGATTTTCAGTATCTAAACAATATCTGTCGACGCTATTTGAAGGTGCACTTTATTTTGATTGTTTAGATCCTCAACCCTATACAAACCACTTTTATACGATTAGAAAAATTTACATAAAAATCAGAAAACTAGTATTACAAAATCTTCCATTTGTTTCGAAAATTTATGCGCACGTCTTACTTTCTTTCCTTTTTTTTATTTTTTTTCCCTCTTATATTTGTTTCAATTATTTTATTTTTCTTGGTTCGTAGGACTTCTTCTTGGACTGTAGGCCTATTTGGGAGGCTACGTAATTGGCCCGATATTTGAAATATTGGACTAGCCTAAAAGTAGGTGTTCAATATCCCAAACATCAGACTACATAATAAATGAAAATAGAAAAAAATAGGGGGCCCCAAAATGCAGAAATACCCTAAAGATAGGTGGTTTGAAGTCTGATGGATGGATTAAATAACCCAACTTTAAGGCCATCCGAGGTTTGAAACATTGGACCGATCCGTAATTGACTCCTTCACAACCACACAACCCCAGAATTCAAGAAAAAAAAGAATGAAAACTACAATAAAAACCGGTCCAAAGATAAAAGTAGAAAATATATATCAAGAGATATGACCTTTACGTAAATATTGAAAAATATTAGATTCTTTATATAATGGAAAAAGTTTATATAAGATTGCAACCTTAAAATGGCTAATTAATATGTACCCCAAAAATCTATTAGAAAGGTTGTTTGGATGTTGGAAAATCTTCTAATTGATCATCTTAACTTCAACTTCAAGATGTATAAATATAAAAGAAGAAGAAGAAGAAGATTTTGAGTCCCAAAATTGTACATCTTGCAACACATTATCTGGACTGTCCATTTTTTAGATTTTCATGTGTTTATAGATCTACTTGATTTGATCTATTTTGGAGTTCAATATTTTATAATTAGAGATGAAAATGAATTTTCATGCCATCCTAAGAATTTTTGACACCAAAATTACATTTTATGATAAAATTTGGAGGTGCACCTTATTTTGATTGTTTAGGGTTGCAACCTTATGCAAGCCACACCCTTATATAATACAATATACATTTTCTGATATGACCGTAATTTTTTCATCGCATGGTCATAAGTAATTGTGACCTAGTACTAATGGTAAATAGTCTTATTTTATATAGGGGTGACAATAGACCAAGACCTAACCCAGGATTTGACGCGTATACTTGACATGGGTCTGGGTATGGGTCTAATCTTTGGACCTGCGGGGTCGGGTCCGGGCCCAAAACCTAGACCTGAACACTATTCGGGTCCTAGTCCAGTTAGACCCGAGCCGTACCTATAAACTGTTGGAAATAAAATACTTTAGGCCCTATTCATTTGGGTGTATTAAGGACCATATACAATAAGAACTCGTAATCATCTTTAGCAATTAAACGATAAATTAGATGGCTTAAAATATAATGGTAGGTACGTGTGACCTTTTTGCTAATAATATGGGTACATGATGGTAAAAAAAAGCGCAAAAAAAAAAAGAAGAAGCTCATAGTGAGGGTGGCAATGGGCCCGACCAGACTTAGGACCTGACGAGATAGGCCCGAGACCCGACAAGTATGGATATGGACCCAACTTTTGGACTCGACATGTCAGGTCCGGATCCAAAACCTGCACCCGTATACTATTCGGGTCTGGGTCCAGCAGGAGCCGACCCATTGCCAACCCTAATTTTATACAATACCTTTAAGTCTACCGTGGGTTCGCTCCACCGGAATTGGTGGAAAAAGACAAGAACTTCTCCCAAGATCAAAATTGAAATTCAGGCCGGATCTCCCTAAAATTTAAAGCCCTATTTGACCTGACGGGCGAGACCACGGGCCGGTATCCCTACATTTTAATGATCCTTCAGACTTGTCGATACTTGATGTCACGCATTGTGATATCCGCCAAAAATGAGGGGCCCCAAAACTCCTCCAAAAACAAATTGGTGGCTCTCTCTTTCACATTATTATAAAACGCATTTCACATGAACCCTCAACCATAACCTGCAACCATACCCCAAATATCGCCCTGTCCCTCCACAAAAATGGCAACCTCTGCAACAGAGTGTGAGTCTGGTGGAGAAGGCAATAATGGCTACACCAAGAATGGCTCTGTGGATCTTAGAGGAAACCCGGTCCTTAGATCAAAAGGAGGAAGGTGGACCGCTTGCTCTTTTATTGTAGGTAAGATATACTGTAAACGTTCCATTCCTAACATAGCTAGAGAGCCCTCCTGCCTGAACTACTAAAAAAAAAACTACCCTTCCCTACAAACTCAAGATTATTATTATTATGCAATTTGTTTTTTTATAAGGTTTCAAAGTGAGTTTCTCTCGGGCACCATGAATTTTAAAGTTTTTGCTCCTCTTTGAGAGTCACATCGAGGTCATGTTTGATTGGTGGAGGACACCCACTTAAAGAGTTACGGCTTCCATGGGGTAGGATGGAAGTCCCAGCTCAACTTTTTTTTTTTTTTTTCTTCACTATTTTGAAAGGAAGCAGCGTCTTCCAGGATAGCATAGCACTTCCCATTACCAAACAGTAGAAGCGGCGAGGCTTCCCGTTATCGAACATGCCATAACGACTTTGGAAATGATCCTCAAAATATATTTTGATGTACACTTCATTTGGAAGTATGGCTTCACCATATGGGGGCAGTCTCTTAAAGTTCTCAAACAGATCAAAAAAGGGTTCTTTTGAAAGGACCTAAAAAGTTTTGTAGAAAGTTGTTTGTCTCTTATTGTGGTTAAGGTAACTCAATGATGGGGCTCAAAATGCATTTGGTATCATTGTATGAAACCTTAGAAAGGCCCTGCAGCATGAGATCCTTGGAATTCAAGGGGACCCAACAAGGGAGTTTGTAAAGGATCTAAGTTCAAATTTGGAAAGCAGCTTATGAAATTTGCCTGATTGAGTTTTATTGCATAGTGCTGATGCTAATTGCCTTACCCATCTCTCTCTCTCTCTCTATAGCCTGATTAATCATTTTCATTTTCTGATCTTATTAGTTCAACCCTCTCTCTCTCTCTCTCACTCATATTATCATGATTTAAGCAATCTAGTTTAAATTTATGAGCTTAATCCCCACATCCCCCTAAGATTTTGTAGGTTATAGCTCATCTGGTTTTTGACTTTTGACAGGATATCACTAAGAAATGTTGCAGTTGCTTGCTTTAATTGAATTAATGCATATGTGGACCTAATCCCTCTCTCTCTCTCTACTGTTCAAGATATTTGTAGCTCATGTAGTTCAAGTTTTAACTTTTGACAGAAAGGCACTTAAGTTTAATTGCAGTGATGCACATCTGGACCTAATGCTTCTTTCTCTCTCTAGGTTATGAGGTTTTTGAGAGGATGGCTTACTATGGGATTGCAACAAACCTTGTGTTGTATCTGACAAGGAAGCTTCATGAAGGGACTGTCGTATCTGCAAACAATGTCACGAATTGGGCAGGGACGGTCTGGATGACTCCAATTCTTGGGGCCTATGTAGCTGACGCCCATCTTGGCCGTTACTGGACCTTCGTTATTTCCTCCGTTATTTACTTCTTGGTAATTCCATTTTACTGCTTTATTATTATTAAGAAAATTGTTTCATCTTAGCTGGATCATATTTATACAAAATGGAGTTTAGAGGTATAAAGCATCCATTTTAAAAATGATGCATTGGTATTTTTAAAAACTAATATAATTGTCGGTTCAAATGTTTTTTTAATATAATTATTTTTTTAATTTTTAATTTTTAACTTTTATACTCATCACCTCTATGTTAAAGATTATATATTTTTAAAAAATTAAAATTAAATTAAATTTAAAAATATATTTATTGCCAATCCCGTATTTCTACAATATCCGGTTGGCCGCATAAAAACTGTCTTTATTATTATTTTTTTTATTTTTATTTTAAAAAAAATAAGTTTCACTAAATCATGAATTTATGAACCATGTGACCTAAGGAAATCTGTACTCACTAGTGTCATTTCCCTGTCCTATCAACTCATGAAGAGAGAGAGTACCCCCAATTTCTATATCGGCGTCCCACCATTACAGTCCATCTGGTGCTTGAATGGTGATGACACTGGTGTCTATGGGTTCCCTACTTCTCATAAATCAATATTTTCCACTTCGAACAACTTCATTGAAAATTCTCCTCTCTATAGTTACGAGCCGTATTTTAAAACCTAACATTTTCAATCCAGATCATTGATTCATGTGTATAGTTATGAGCCGTATTTTAAAACCTAACATTTTCAATGCAGGTCATTGATTCATATATATAATTGGTTGGGACTGAATTGATTTTCGAATGGTATGGGTCTCGGGACAATTCCCCCTAAGACCCTTTTCTTCTTTTTGTTTTTTTCTTTTCATTTTAAGCTTATCTAATGTTGTGATTGATTACCCTTTAAATCCCCACCCTATAAACCTTTTTTTTAATTTTTGTTTGATATATTTATTTTTCGAAATTTTTGGATCAACGATCTGGACGATTTGAGAATGATCCGGATCTCTAGTCCTACCGATCCGATGCGGGATTGGAGGTGGATGATATGGCCCATCAATATGTTTTTTGAAATAATGGTTACAAGTAATGTTTTATCACATTCTTGAAGCATTTGATCCAATTAAAATCGTTTCAACTTCCTGTTGACCTAGTTGGAGTAGATTTAAAAAGATAATAATAATAATAATAGCTTTGGAGTAGATTTAAAAAGATAATAATAATAATAATAACTTTAAATATGAAATATATTAGTAACTGTTTTTCAAATTTGTTTGGCTAATTGGAAGCGGTCAAAACTGGGTAGTATGACCATCTTAAATCATTAAAATACAAATTTTGGTCTATTCTCAATAAAAACAAGGTTTTGGTCCAAAGAAGACTGGCCAAGGCACCGGCTAATAGTCTTGAGTCTTGACCACGGGGTCTACTCCAATCTTGATAACCACGTGCTTACTTTTGGAGAAATATCAAATTTGGGTTTTTTTTTTTCTAGAAAGTTGAAATATACATGGCAAAATACCAAAATAACCCTTAATCTAGCCAGTTGAACTCCTTATGGAATATCCAAATTACCCTCTAATCCAGAGATGTCATCGCCATTTAACCTCCTGTCCTTACTAAGATATTCACCAAAAACAAAAGATAAACTAAAAAATGGCCCCCCATTTTTTTTATTCATTGATCAAAAGAACACATTTTCTCTAAAGGGTGAGATTTGTATAAGGTGTCAACCCTATACTATTGAAGTAAGGTGCACCTAAAATTTATGCTAAAAAATGCAGTTTCGGTGCTTCAAAAACCTTGCGATGATATAAAAATCTAGTATTGGCCCCAATTATGAAATTTAAAGTTCCAAAATTGTGATAATTAAACACATCTATAAACACTTGAAAATCTTCAAAATGGACGGTCCAGATAATGTGTTAGAAGATGAACTATTTTTAGGATTAAAAATGCCATTTTTTCATGTCTACGAATCTCGAGGTTGAGATGATCAATTTGAAAGTTTTTCAGTACAAGAACAACCTTCTCTAGTGGATTTTTTAGGTACACCTTACTCAGTAAAATATATAAGCTTACACTCTTTATAAACTTTTCCTTCTCTAAAAGGCCAAAAAAGTGATAACATATGTTCCCTCCATCCATCTCTTTATTTCTATTACGAACTCAATAGTTTAGCACAACTGCCTGTATATTGTAAGAGGCATGTTTAAGTACTTTCTGTAAGCATCACTCGATTCTAATTATCATAAAAAATAGCCAAAATAAACACCAAGTTTTCCCAATGCCTCACTTTTTGTGGTATGACCGTGACGCATAGGCTCATGTATCAGTTCACATGTGCTTTGCAACTTTTTCCCTAAAGGGAAAAGATTACATGGTTTCTTGAGACTGTCTCTGGACCATTCATCTTATAGTAATTTAGACTTCAAAAGTTACGTTTTTTAGTTATCCTGAGTTTTAATAAATAAAATGTGATTTGTCGAATTTCACTTTCAAAAGAAAAAAGAAAAAAAGCCTGAACATGGTCACTTGCCTACCAACCACATGTACATATTGGTCCTGCACGCCGATGCTAGTGCTAGGGGTGTCAATGGGTCAGGTACCGGTCAACCCCGCCCCAGACCTAATCCAACTACGTTTCACATGGACCCTATAGGACCCAGGTCTAGAAATGTAAAACTAAAAAATTAATTGTCTAGTTATATTATATACCGACTCGGGTCAAGTGGGGTTAACCCAACCCGACCCAATAAGGACCCAAAAAGAACAGGGACTCGACCAAATCATTTTGGACCCAAACCCAACCCGCCAGGTCCAATACTTGGATCCAGTTGGGTCGACCCGCTGAGTTGCCACGCCTAGTTAGTAACACCCTTCTCTAAATGTAACATAACTGGGAGTTATTTAGTTGATTTATGAGGCATTTGTTAACAATCACAACATGGATAGCAATTTTTGACAAAATTTTTATCTCTTTTTCTATTAAAAGTTAAATGTGGACTAAAGTATTTGGGTCGTCAACTATAGGAAATTAAAACTACCATTATGTTGCTCATTTCTAGTTAATACATTACATTTGAGGCGCTTCAATGCTTATTGCCATTAATTGCCGTTAGTATTAGATCACTCATCTCATTCACTTGCAAAAAGTACTCTAACCATGTAGTTTAAAACTAACCTGGGTATATACTGGAGCAATAGTCAATATTAACATTTTAAAAATACGCCAGGTGACTTAAGAGGCGAGGTTTTAAGGCCAATGTGCTCAGTAAAAAGGTCCGAACAAAGGGAAAGGTTTCTATACTTCTCTTAAATCATAGAAGATCTATACTTCCCCTCTCATCTAGCCGTTCAATTTAGATCAAGTGAGCCATTGACTATTTGATCCATATCCGATGCTTCAGCGTATTTTATTTTTAGTTTATTTCTACAAATTGTATGAAAATGAAATTTGAAGGTGAACCTAAAAAAATATTAAAAATAATTTTTTAATAAAATACAACTATCGAAATACCTCTTGAAAATTTTAAACGAATTTTGGTCATTTTATTTTTTGAGAATATTTTTTTTATATTTTTTATAAGTGCGAGTATAAGAGAGGAGTGGATGCCCAAAATTTGATATCAAAACAATTTGTAGAAAACAATTAAAAATAAAATAGTGTAGAGACTTGACATTGTGATTGGGGTCATTTCAGCCATCCATGCAGAATGGATGGCTGGATAGGGAGAAGTATATAAATTTTATACATTAGACGAAGCATAGAAAGCTTGCTCCCAAAAAAATATATAGTTTTTAAGCAAATAACTAATAATTGATATAATATATTTCTATAATGTTTAGTTAGTTTAAGCAAATCACTAATAATTGATATAATATATCTCTAGAATGTTTTGTTAGTGACGACTTTGAATTCTTCATTGTATGCTCTGTTTTTTTATTTTCCAAATTATTTCAAGCTATAAATCAATTTTTTCCATATTCCCTCTTCTATATATATTTCTCTGTTTTTTGAAGAGTTTTAATGTTGTTTATTAATTCTACCTCTTTTTACGTTTTTTTATTTAAAAAGTTTTTATAAATTATTTTTTCATCTTTAGCCCTTTTCAACCGCATACACTAGTCGGACTTCTCTACTCAGATTGGCCAAGGGTTGAGTCACGAGCGTGAGCTCAGTTTTTTAAGATTGGTCAAGACCATAACTACTAAACCTGGCATCAAATACACCTTATTTTTTTTTTTCTAAAATCCAACAATTATTTTAAAATATCCAGGAACTTTTAACTAAATTCAAAGTTTTATTGAATTTTACTCTACACTCAAAGTTGTCTCTTATATCATAATATTTCTTATCGAATAGAGAATATTTTCTTAATGAAATTGTAGCTGTAATATTGAGTGTAATGCATATTTAGATACAAAATCTGACATTCTTTTATCAATTTTGTGTGAGGATGTTAAAGGGTTACAGCCCTTGAATCTGTCCCAAAACCAAACCAATCTGCTCACTCTTTTTTCCAATGCAGGGAATGTCCTTACTTACACTGGTGGTCTCCCTACCATCGCTAAGGCCGCCCTCCTGCAAGAGCCTGCACATTGACTGCAGTGCCCCCGGCGTTGAAGCTCCTCAAGCCTCCACATTCCAAATTGGGATCTTTTACTTTGCGCTATACGTTCTCGCGATAGGCACTGGGGGCACCAAGCCTAACATCTCCACTATGGGAGCTGACCAGTTCGATGAAACCGATCTATCAGAGGGGAAGCAAAAGCTCTCCTTCTTCAACTGGTGGATGTTTAGCATATTCCTAGGCACTCTCTTTGCGAACACAGCCATTGTATACATTCAAGACAATGTTGGATGGACTTTAGGCTATGCTTTGCCGACGTTAGGATTGCTCGTATCGATAGCTGTCTTCATGGCAGGCACCCCTTTCTACAGACACAAGGTGCCTGCAGGGAGCCCCTTCACACGCATGGCACGTGTGCTAGTCGCTGCTGCTCGCAAGTGGGATGCAAAGCAACCAGATGATCCTAAGGACCTCCATGAGTTGGATACTTCATACTATGCAGCCAAGGGCTTGTTCAGGATCAAGCCCACACCCTCTCTGAGGTATAGTCTCGTCTGGATTTGAAAGATAAGGTATTCTGTAATCCAATGGACCACTGCAACACTATGTTTCATTGGGTCATTGACATCCTTTGAGATGGTGGGGTGTGATAGGTATAGAGGTAAGCAAATGTTCAAAAAAAAAAATAGGTATAGAGGTAAGCCCATCACTGGGCTCAAGCCGTTTTCTGTTTTTCCCAACTCTGCACCCTTTCCTAAATTACTCTACATGCATTTCCACTTCAGATCCTTGATTTTGCAACTGGAAAAATAGTGCAAAGAATTTAAAGAAAAAATATCAAATTGATGTTTAAAATAGTTTATTTTAAAGGTTCAAAGTCCTCTCCCTCTTTTCTTCACTCAGATTCATGATTGTAGTGGTCAAGATTATTCTCTGAAATTTGCGACACGAGATCCATCTCTAAGATTGTTTTTTGGAAGAAGAATGCCTTTGAATACAGACACACCAAAGCCTGATTTAACGTAAAATACTTTTTGTGCTACAACTGGTGGCCCTAAGTAGTATCTTTTAGCCTTGGGTTCAATGGTGTGACAATCTATTTGTACATGAGTTTGAGAGATCCTTTGTTTCGCTTCTCCGAAAGAGAGAAGAAAACTGAGAACCCCTGTTTTGATGGTTCTCACCTTTCATAAAATTGAAGTTTATACATCATCCATACCAAGCTAACCTTCGTCATTGTGGAATCATATTGCAGGGTCCTTGACAAAGCGGCTGTGAAGAATGGTGTAGACACGCCATGGATGCTATGCACAGTTACTCAAGTAGAGGAAACAAAGCAAATGATCAGAATGGTTCCAATCCTGATCGCCACCGTAATACCTAGCACCATGTTGGCTCAAGTGCACACCCTCTTCATCAAACAAGGAACAACCCTTGATAGGAGCATGGGTCCTAACTTTGAGATCCCACCGGCCAGCCTCGTAGCCTTCGTAACCATATCTATGCTCATATGCATTGTCATATATGACCGGTTCATTGTTGCAATTTTGAGGAGGTATACAGGTGACCCTCGAGGGATCTCATTGCTACAGAGGATGGCAGTTGGCCTGATTTTGCACATTATAATTATGATGGTCGCATCATTGATCGAGAGGGAGCGACTAAGGGTTGCGAGGAAACACGGCATTTTTGATAACAACAACACAATTCCTCTCACCATTTTCATATTGCTACCACAATTTGCTCTCATGGGCATAGCTGATTCATTTTTGGAAGTTGCAAAGATAGAGTTTTTCTATGATCAAGCACCTGATAGCATGAAAAGCTTGGGAGCTTCTTATTACACCAGCAGTCTCGGGCTCGGAAACTTCCTCAGTACATTCATTCTTTCAACTGTGTCAGATTTTACAGGAAGGCACGGACGCAAAAGTTGGATTCTTAACAATTTGAATGCTTCTCATCTAGATTACTACTATGCATTCTTTGCAGTGTTGAATTTGATAAACTTATTCTTTTTCTTGATTTTGGCTAAATTCTATGTTTATAAGAATGAAGCATTGCAACAGAGCTAGGTTTAGTAAAACCCTTTGAGAGGTCACTTGAGAAGGTCTATACTTCAGAAAAAGATCAAAGTATAATGAGTTAGGAACCAGTTTTGGAGATTATAGGGGATGATATTCCTTTGAAAGAGGTTGGAAAATCCCAAAGATTAGTGTAAAGAAGGAGGCTGAAAAATCTCCAAGATTAATATAAAGAATTATAGAAGGTATACCACCATGATTGTTCACTCACTAATGTCAATTGAGTTAACCAGGCTCTTGGTCTTACATTGTGATAACTATTGTATTGTTTTGTTGGGTGAGCTGGAGTTACAGAGGGGTCCCTCTAAATATATCATTTTGTACATAGTGAGATAAGGAAGAGTTCATGGTGTGATAGAGAAGAACTCCTTACTTTTCCATGATACAAAGCATTTATTTCTAGAGAAAGGCGTATAAAATGGCAAATCTTTGTATCATTGACTAATTTACCCATGTTAATGGTGATAGAGAATCACATTGGATGCATTTGCCTTTTGTACATCCATTAAGGGGTTTTTTTTGTCACTACGAAAGATGACTTGGATAAAAGCGAAGAAAAGGTTATTTTGGGGCACTACGATTTTCTTTTTCTTGGTTTTCTCTAAAAGATTATGGCTTCTTTCGGTTACGGGGAAAAAGGGCAAGAGGTGACGAAGGTGATTTTTTTGTCTATTTTTGTGGAAAAATTACGTGAGCTTGTGTTGCTCAAGTTCTTGATTCATCTTAAGAGAATGACAATGTAAAATATGGGTTTTAGGTGGTTTCAAGAAGGTATTGTGGTGATGGTTATCACCAGTTTTTTTCCATGCGGTGATATTGTATCCCTTTCGTAAATTTCTTTTTGATAGTGGAATTTTACATGTCTGCTTGCCTGTGGACGAAGTCCTATGGGGTGAACTATGTTAAAGTTGGTGTTGTGATTTGACTTTTTTATTTTCTCTCATGATTGTAGTTCCATCTCTTATTTTTCTTAAATTATTGTACACGACTCCTTAAGGTTGTTCGGATTATCGATTTCAAATAACTTGGGTTTGAGTCTGTGATATTTGGTGATCAGCTAATTTGGAGTATCAGGTATTCGGATTTCCAACAAGTAATATCAGAGAAGTAGGTTTGTGCAATATATTTAGGAGAATGGGGAGTAACAGATTGAGGTGGCAAAAATTGATGGACAAAATAATTTTGAGATATGAAAAATTCAAGTTCATGATCTTTTGGTCCAACAAGGACAATACAAAGCATTGCACTAAAAAGAAAAGAATATGAAATCCATGAGTAATAAGGATTGGGAAGAAATGGACCTTAAGGCTATGGCTAGCAAATAAGGTTTTATTCAATGTAGTGGGAAAGAAGATGGCAAAGGGCTTGTGGGAGAAATTGGAAAGTGTTTATCAAAACAAATCTCTTACAAACCGTATTCGATTAAAGTGAAAATTATTTAGTTTAATGATGAAAGATGGGACACAAATTTCCGATCATTTAAACACTTGTAATAATATTCTTAGTGAGCTTGAAAGTATTGATGAAAAAATAAAAGATGTGAACAAGGCGGTAATGTTGTTATGTACTTTACCGGAATCGTATGATAATTTAGTGGCAAAATTAAGTTGCACTAAAGAAGATTCACTTAACTTAACTACATTGTGTAGTACTTTACATGCCTATAAACTCTAAAAAAAGGTATCTATTGGAGAACCTTAATCAGAAGTTCACAAATCAAGGGGTCCTTCAAGTGAGAGAGGTAATTCTTCTCAAAATTCTTCAAGAACTAAGTCAAAGGGTTAATCAAAGTCTAAAGGCCGAGAAAACAAGTTTGTTTGTCGGGGAAGTGGTGAAGCCGATTATCTAAAGAAAAATTGTACATAAAGGAAATGACAAAAATTCGAAAACAGAAGGGAATCCAATGAGCCCAAGAATGAAACAAATCAAGTGGAGCAACTTACATCCGGTTTCATTGAAGAAGAGGTTATGTTGTGGGTTGCAATCCCAAATTCCATCAAAATTGGATTTTGAATAGTGGTGCTACACATTATATGTTCCCACACAAGTCATCATTTAATCATATGAATCATGTAATAGTGGTTCTGTGTTAATGAAAAATAATTCAAGAAGTAGAATGACTGGGATGGCCACGTTGAAATTAAGGATATATGATAGAATTATCCACATACTTGAGAATGTTCGACATGTACTGGAATTAAAAAAAAGTTTAATTTCTCTTTCTTTATTGGATTATGATGGCTACAAATTCATCGGACAATGGGCAATTCTCAAAGTATCCAAGGGGCTCTTATTGTGATTAAGGGTGTTAGAGTTGGGAACTTGTAAAAAATTTTGGGAAGCTCCATTGTTGATGATGTGGCAAATTCGGTAGTGGAGAGTAATGATATTCCACTATGTTTATGGCATAGGAAGTTGTGTCATTTGAGTGAAAAAAGTATGCAGATTTTGATGAAGAGGAAGTTAATTCCCACCATAACATTTGGGGAATAAGAATTTTGTGAGCCTTGTGTCTATGGAAAACAACATAGACTAATTTTCAAAGCCGAAAGCCATACATGCAAGGGAAAATTTAATTATGTTCACTCGGATTTATAACGGCCATCACCTATAATGTCCTATGGTGGTGCATTGTGTTTTATTTCTTTTGTAGATGACTTCTCAAGAAAAGTATGTGTGTTCCTCTTAAATTAAAGAGTGATACATTTTTTGCCTTTAAACATTTTAAGGCCAAAGTTGAAAAGAGCACGGGGCACCACATCAAGACACTTCGCACCAACAAAGGGAAAAAATATAATTCGATGACTTTGCACAATTTTATAAAGATGAAAGAATCAACATGCATTTAACCATGGTTTACACTCTCCAACAAAATAGTGTCGTAGAAAAGATAAATCACACTTTGATGGTGCGAGCTAGAAGCATGTTGAGCAATGCCGGATTGGAGCAAGAGCTATGGGTCGAAGCCATGATGAACAACTTGTTACCTCATCAATCGATTACTTTCAGCAGCTTTGGGGGAGAAAACACCCCAAGAGGTATGGTCCATAATTCCTTGTAATTATTTTGATTTAAATATTTTTTTGTTGTAATGTTTATGTTTTAATTCGAAGTTCTCAAAGAAATAAGCTTGAACGAAAATAAAAAAAATACATTTTTATTGGGTATAACAAAGGTGTGAAAGGATACCAATTATGGGATCCAAGTGCTCGAAAGATAATTACAATTCAAGATATGTATTTTGATGAGTCATCTGTATTAACAAGAGGTATAGGAAATAAAACTAAAGAAAATGAAGAATCTCAAAATGACACCTAAGAAATTAATTTTCGCCCTTATGTTCCATTATCTAGTGAAAGCCATTTATCGGAAGAAGTATCCACAAGTATCAATGAAGAAGTCATTGATGATAAGTGATTCTCATGAAGAAATTGCACTATCAATTCGAAGAAGATCTACAGGGGTAATTCGTCCACCCAAACGGTTTGGGGACAATATGGATCTCGAAGTACTATATGCTTTGGTTGTTATGAATGAAAAACCGAGCACGTACAAAGAAGCTATAGAAGAAAATTATTCCACATTATGGAAGAAGGCCATGGAAGATGAAATGTTGGCTCTTAAGAAGAACAACACTTGGGATTCAGTAGAGCTGCCACAAGGTAGAAAAATGATTGCTTGTAAGCGAGTGTTCAAAATCAAGAAACAAATCGATAAAAATATGGAAAGGTATAGGGCAAGGCTAGTTACAAACGGACTTGCACAGTTCTTAAATTGGAGGAGATCTCTACTAGAGATGAATTTAGTTTTGTTTGGTAGGTAGGTTTTGGGGTTTGAAGCGATGAGAATGGTTTAGAGGAATCAGTGAAGAAGACATTTTGTAGGTGCTATCAGTTCCACTAAGTGTTTGTGAAGGCTAAATTGGAGAGGATAGGGCTGATTTGGAGGTGGTTTGTCATTAAGTTGAATTAGGTTCTCAAAAGAGAGGCCAAATTGGGAGAATTTTATAGTTTATTTTCTAGGGGTATCAAGCAAGATTGATCGCTTGGAAAATATGGCTAAAAATGCAGGAAATCTAGAGAAGAAGACCCAAATTTGAAGATGTTTTTTTGAGAGCTGCACTTGGGTCTATGATGAGTAAAGTGGGCCACAAATAGAGGAATGTTTTCGTGTTTTTCAGGGTCCAAAGCAAAATGGGTTTTTCGGATCAAACATTAAACACTACATGGAGAAGATAGCAAGAGGAAGGGTAGAGAGAGAAAAGCGAGAGAGAGTAAAGAGGGAAGAGAGTGTTACTGAAAAAAATTACACAGAGAGCAAGAGAGAGAGTTACTTTAAAAAAAATTATTTAAGAAATAGGAAGAATTCAAATCTCACCTTGAGATTCAAATATCTAGGGAGATTAATAAGTCTACTATTCATAATTCTCTATCTAGAACTTTTGTAATTTGAATAAATCCATCCTTCATAACTCTCTCTATCTTGAACTTTTGTAATTTGAATAAATCCACCCTTCACAACTCTCTCTATCTTGAACCTTTTGTAATTTGAAGGGTTGTGAAGTATATATATATATATATATATATATATATATATATATATATATATATATATATATATATACA